CTTCGGCTCAGGTCATGATCCCAGGGTCCTGGGATCGAGCCCCGTATCGGACTCCTTGCTCGGCGGGAAGTCTGCTTCTCCCTCTCCGCTGCCCCTGCTTGTGTTCCCTCTCTCACTGTCTCTCTCTCTGTCAAATAAATAAATAAATAAAAATCTTTAAAAAAAAAAAAATGAAGGCAGTTAAGTCAATTAATCTGGAACTAATGAATTAGAAAACACATTTAATTATTTGGTTGGGGAAGTCTGGATACGCAGCTTATTAGGAAGCACCATTCCGTGTTATAGTGAGCACAGGGTCTAGGGTTCAAAACCCTGGATCTGACAATTACTAGCATTAAGACCTTGAATAGCTTATTTATTTTCTTCCCAGCTTTGGTTTCTTCATCTGTAAAATAGGTAAGTTATTATCTAGCATAGTGCTGTCCAATAGGACTTGCTGCAAAGATGGAAATGTTCCATAACGGTGCTGTCCATTATGGTAACTGCTAGCCAAATGTGGCTCCTGAGCACTTGAAATATAGCTTGTGCAGCCGAGGAACTAAGTTTTTAATTTTGTTTAAGATTTAAGTTTAAATCACCACATGTGACGACTGGCTAGTGAACTGTGCAGATCTAGCACATAGACAGACATCGGTTGGAGAAATGTGTATGAACGAAATGCCTTAACTTAGTGCCTGGTGCATTGAAGGTTCTCAAAAATGCTAGCTGCTGTTGCATTTATTTAGTATTATTTTTACTCTATACAACATTTAGTGAAACTAACTGATGTGTCCTAACCCATCGGTTTTCTGAGGTTTCCTAGCTTTTTCTCATTTACTTAGGTGTCCATTCTTTGTGTGGATCTCTTGTGATAGCCTTTTTCCTGAGGAACCAAGCTGCAATCATTTAATCTTTCAGAATCCCCAAAGGCCAGAAATTATTGATGAATTACTGCTGTTTTTCCAGGTTTACATGAGGATCCACAAAGCCCACCTCCTCTCCCTACTGAAAAACCTATTGGAAACACTTACAGTACGGTATCTGGAAAACTCAGTTCTGTTGACAGAACTAGAAACTTGGTAAGTCGTCCTTATAAATTGTCTTAGATCGAAGACCAAGCTGTGTGCTAATTTTAAATTATGATGTCTGAATTATTTTACTATTGGTCACATAAAGACCTTTATTGCAAATCAGTTCTAAGCCCCACATACTTAATGTGATGTTCAATCTTTTTTAAGTTCCTGTAGAACAAAAGAATTAGGCCAGTTCATTGTACTTCATCATAAAATAATTTGTCCTATACTGATATAATGATATTGTCTTTTATGTGGCACTAATAATGAGGAAGTTATTGAAAATCTCTAAAAACCTTTAATATTTGTGGAAATAGACTTAGTCATCAGTTTTTATTTAAAATACCCAACTAGTGACATAATTTTAAGATAATTACCATGAGAATTTGTTCATCTGAAATTTAAGGAAAAATTATTTTTTAATTAAAAAATAGTACTTTACCATGTACTTGTTAACAATGGTAGTCAACAAGTTTTAAATATATATATATATATATATATATTTTTTCAACCTCAATACCATTTCCCCATACTGTTTGTAATTCCCATATGCTAGATTATCTTTTAAGGTTTGTTTCAAAAGAGACAAGTTCCTTAACAAGTGTTGGCAAGGATGTGGGGAAAAGGTAACCCTCTTGCACTGTTGGTGGGCATGTAAATTTGTGCAGCCACTGTGGAAAACAGTGAGGAGGTTCCTCAAAAATTTAGGAACAGAACTACCATATGATCCAGCAATTTCACTTCTAGGTACTTACTTAAAAAAAAAGTGAAAACACTAATTCAAAAAGACGTATACACCCCTGTATTCATCACAGCATTGTTTGCAGTAGCCAAGATAAGGAAGCAGCCTAAGTGTCCATCAGTAGATGAATGGGTAAAGAAGATGTGCTATATATGTACAATGAAATATTACTCAGCCACAAAAAAAGATGAAATCTTGCCTTTGGTGACGACATGGATGAACCTAGAAGGTGTTAAGCTAAGTGAAATAAGTCAGGCAGAGAAAGACAAGTGTACTGTATGACTTCACTTATATATGGTATCTAAAAAGCAAAACAAACAACAAAATAGAAACAGACTCATAGATACAGAGAACAAACTGATGATGGTTGCCAGAGGGGAGGTGGCAGGATGGGGGCTTGGGATGGATGAAATAGGTGAAGAGGATTAAGAGGTACAATCTTCCAGTTACAAAATAAATAAGATATGGGGGTGTAGTATGCAGCACTGGGAATATGGTCAATAATACTGTAACAACTTTGTATGGCGACAGATGGTAACTGGACTTACTGTAGTGCCCATTTTATAATGTATATAAATACTAAATCATTATGTTGTACACCTGAAACTAATACAATATTATATATTAATTATTCAATAAAAAATTTTTAAAAAGCAAAATTAAAAATTTTTTAAAGGAACGAATTCTTAATGTCTTTGAACCAAATTTTCAGTTCAAATTTCATAATAGTTTCACACTGTGCATTAACTATGCTTATTATACATGCAAACCCATCTAACCATCTAGTGAAAAGATATTTCTTTGAAGGAGACATTAAATTAAATTAGCCAATATCAAGTTAATGAGATTTTCCTGTAGGCTGAACTAAAATTTAGTGATCATTTGCATTTTCAAAGTACTTGGTAATAAATTTTTATTAAAACTGGGCCAAGAAAGCCCAAAAGGCAATGACTGGGTCCTTACAATACTGTTGTTGAATAGGAGAAAATCCCAAATTTCCGTGGAGGAAAATTTACTTGAGAAGGTTACTGGCTTCTACTCTAAAGGGTTGTAAAGGAGAGTGAGAGGATGATGAGCAGGCATATATATCATTCATGAAGTCATGTAATGGGCTTTTGTAAACCATAAAGCTCTATTAAAATATTAGGTATTATTACATTTGGTGTTAAGCAGACCACAAAGCAACTCCCACATTTTAGAAAAACAAGAAAAGGAAGTTAGAATAAACTAAACCATTTGGAGAAGTACTATAATCATAATTGTACCTCACATGAACAGGAAAATCCTGTCCTACACTGTTTATGAAGGAGGGCCAAAGCATTCTGTGCTGTACTCTAGAGACATACTGGGTCTAAAATAGAGCAAGAGGAGATAAGAAACAGACCACAAGTGAAATGAGTTGGCTAAAGTCACACATAGAGATTTCTAGGGCCAGGAAGTCAAATCTCTGCCTGAGAAATTCCTTTTCTTTGAGAATTACAATTAGTGAATGAATAGTAGACCAGAGACCATAAAGCTTTCAGGTATCGGGGAGGATCTCTAGGAAGACTACTTCACCAGTGTAATGACCCATGAGGATAGGCCTGGTCTTTGCCAACTGTGTCTTCTGATGAGACACAGAGGACGAAAACTCTCTACTATTTCTCCTGCCTTGAGAGCCAAGGAACTTTCCATCGTAGGACAAGATGACTGTGTTACAAAATCTCACAAGGGATTCTAGGGTAAGGAACATTAGGAGTCCCTGGAACAGGAGCAGATGCTTCTGTGTCCCCTGTTCTCACCGTGGGAACTCAGGGCTTCCACATCTTCTCTCAAGGAGGCTGCCAGCCAGTGCAGGAGGAGAGTCAGGAGACACCACCTGGTATGTATAAGGAATCCAGGTGGTAGCACCGACGCTGGCCATTGAACTCAGGACCTAAGAAGTGGTGCCAGTTCCTGGGGAAAGAAGAGAAGGAACATCTGTGGAGGCTGCTCAGTAATTCCAACAGACAAGAATACCTCCTGTCTTTGGAAGTTCAGCAAAAAACTGGGGAATTATTTTGAAGTCAGAGTGTAAGAAGCTGTTCCAAAGCCGATGAACAAAAAGATGGCATTTGCAGGGGACAGTACACGCAGAAAGACCCAACTTCGCCGAGAACTAAAATGCCTATCCAAACACATCAAAAGCCAAAGTTCAGAGATGTCAGAGCTAAAGAAAACTACGAAAAGCAGATGCAGAGAGGCTCCAGTTAGGTGTGGAATATTAAAGAGGAGGAAATCCCTAATCAGTAATCTTCCAAAGACTGTTGGCAGAACCCGGGCACAAGGCTGGACTTTAGCAGAGAATGGCCTCCTCAGGAGCCACTCCTCTCTTTCAGTATTTACGTGTGCGGGACACAGCAATGCCTTCTACAGCGGCCCCGACGTTCCTGGGCGGTGAAAGCGCTCCACCGCCCCCCCTGCTTTTTTTCTGAATTAAAATTTTCTCCTTTAGAAAACTTGAGAAACGGGGGCGCCTGGGTGGCTCAGTTGGTTAAACGACTGCCTTCGGCTCAGGTCATGATCCTGGAGTCCCGGGATCGAGTCCCGCATCGGGCTCCCTGCTGTCAGCAGGGAGTCTGCTTCTCCCTCTGACCCTCCCCCCTCATGCTCTCTCTCTATCTCATGCTCTCTCTCAAATAAATAAATAAAATCTTAAAAGAAAAAAAAGAAAACTTGAGAAACTAAAAAGATACTTAAGATCCTCCATAAAGATAACACCACTGAGAGAAAACTACAGCTAGTATTTGACACAAGATTAGGATTCTCTGGTGTGTAGTTACTAAAGTACATCACCTATAACTTCGTCAAATTTCTACATCTATATTTTTTTAATTTGCCCTTAATTATTATCTAACAACTGTAATTTTGAGAAAACCAGTAAGAGTTCTTGCCTATCTGCTAGATTGTTTTTCTGTTTGTTTGTTAATCTTAAAGATGGCCAAAGATGTGAGTTTTTCAAAATCATAGCAGTATTTGTCAGTGAGGGGGGAATATGGGCAGCAGCGTATTTAGAAGGCATGGATTAGACTATGGAATATTGCAGGGTTTATGCACTGGTGACTCACCTCATTACATTAACTGAACTCATTAGTGAAACCAAGTTTTAAGGGCAAGCTTAATTTATTTCTTAAAAATGGGATTTTGAAACATACTTAAATGATCACAGTTATTGGCAATTAATCATTCGGTATTTAAGGCAAAGTTAATATTCAGTTTGAATTAAAACACCATGGAAGTGAGTTTTAACTCATTTATAAGGTGAGAAGGAGGAGAACAGTCTAAATTAGCCCAAAGAACCCCAAGCGACAGTTAAATCTTCCTTACAAAAAAAGGCAGTGTAATTTTAAAGGGCTAGCATTTTTTCCCATGTATTATACTCGTTTCCCAATCCTTGGGCTACACCATGTTTGAAGAACCCATTGAAACAGCACAGTTTGAATCCTTTACCCTAAAGAAATCTTCCTGTTGTTCTCCACACTTCCAGTTTTCCCCCTCTGCTGTTAGGCTCATACACTCCTGCTCTACCTGTCTTTTCTTTTTTGAGTTATCCTCCTTTACCATTTCTGCTTTCTTGGACCTTTTTCTGTTCCTCTTCACATACCTTCCTTTTAGGCCATCCCTTAAGCTCCTTTTATGTTCTACCTCCTCCTAGTTCAAAAGCCACCGCACAAAGTATAAACCACCTGGTGATGAGAGATCTGCCTGTTGGAAAGCAAAACAAACTAATCACCACCTCACGTACTATATGTTTAAACTGAGGAGCAGGGCATATCTTACGTGTTGTCATGGGATAAATAAAGGCCATATATTTTTTTTAACTCTCCACAGTGCCTGCTTAAATTGCTACTGTGTATGATTTCAGCAGCATCCTTCATACCTTGTGAATGTGCTGGGTGCATAACCACATGGTACCCTCGGGTGGGCTACGGCCCACAGCAGCAGACCCCCTGCTCTCCTCTCTGGTTTCACTTATATAAGGACTTGAAAACTTAGGTAGGAAGAAGTAATGAGTTAATACTGCTTAAGACCAAAAACTCTTAAGCTACTTTCTGTAACTCAGCTACATTTCCCCTTAGAGATCTAGCCAGAAAGTTGTCCATAATTCCTCTTGACAAGCTCCTGTTTCAGATGAACCTTAACTAAAGAGCATTCTCTGGTAATTGTAGGAATCTGACCACACGGGTCAAACAGGAGGTTCTGTGCGAGGACCCCCAAGGTTGCCACCAAGGTAAGTGAAGTGTGGGAAAACTTTAAAAAGTAAAGGGCTGCCTGGCTGGCTCAGTCAGAAGAGCATGCAGCTTTTGATCTCAGGGTCGTGAGTTCAAGCCCCAGATTGATTGCAGAGAGTACTAAAAAAATAAATAATCTAAAAAAAAAGGGTAAATTAGATAAAAACTAATGGTTCAGAGACTGGACTCTCTTTTCTATCATCAAAACTGAGTATTGGGGCGCCTGGGTGGCTGGCTCAGTTGGTTAAATATCTGCCTTCGGCTCAGGTCATGATCTTGAGGTCCTGGGATCGAGCCCCGCATCAGGCTCGATGTCTCTCTCTCTCTCTAATAAATAAATAAAATCTTTAAAAACAAAACAAACTAAACAAAACTGAGTGTTTTGGATCTTAGATATTTTGGAGATGCATTGAACTCACGAATTCACCCAGACCACTAGCCTCTAGTCTGCTTCCCATGGCAGGTTGTAGGAATCTCTGCTCCTTCTTTCTTTTCACACAATCCAACAACTCACAGAGCACAAACATGGATCTTTATTACTTTTCCTCAATTAAATGAACAACACTCCTTTCTGAACCTAAAGCAACTCCATTTCTGGAATGTGTACATGCACACGCACACATGCACACTCCCTGTTACGAGAAACCAGCCTGGATTTTGGAAGTATCTCTAGAGGGAGACAGGCTTTGTGAGCTCAGAGGTTACCTGCCCTCCTGAGTTCCAGGGCTCTTTGAACAAAAAGCTATGATGTTATCGGAAGGTGTTACTTTGTTGGAAATTATTTTTATCATAGGGATTGAGGGACAGCTTTCAAAATAATAGTTGTCCTATCCCATTTTCAGAATTAGCTTTCTTTATATTAATCTAAATTAGGGTTTTAATAATAATTCCTATAACACGAATATTGGGGGAGTTTGATGTTCCTTTTCTAATTACGTATAAGACCCCATCAGATACACCTCATAACTTATTATTAGCTTCTCATCTGAGACTTTGGTAGAAAGTGCTTAGTCTCCTGAAGTCGTCATGGTGTGTTTCAGAGTAAATGGGGCCTTAGAGAGCTCATGATAGTAAAGCCTTGTTTGTCTGAAACTAATGAATCTCTAGTGCAAGATAAGAGGAAGCTGGAGCATCATGGCATCTCCTCTAATAATGTTTAATGCAGCAGTCATTTGCTCAAAAATAGCATACCCTGCATGTTTTAGTAAATTATATTACACCAGCAGAAAGCTCTGTGTGTGTGTGTGTGTGTGTGTAATAAGAAAGAATAAAACAGGGCCCTAATACCGATCAAACACGGACTCATAGCTACCACGTTGACTTTCAGACCTGTAAATGGAAAAGTTACACCAGCTCGACAACCTCCTCCCAAGGGAGCCCCTGAGAGACCACCTCCCCCCAAACTTTCTGCAACCAGAGCATCCAGTAAAAAACTGCCTTTTAATCGGTCTTCTTCTGACATGGATCTTCAGAAAAAGCAAAGTAACTTGGCATCTGGACTCTCGAAAGCCAAGAGTCAAGTCTTTAAAACTCAAGATCCGGTGCTGCCCCCTCGCCCCAAACCAGGACACCCTCTCTACAGGAAATACATGGTAAATGTAGCTTTAAAAAATGTTTCTGGTCAAAAGATTTGTCCTAAAGTATATAAAAGATCCGTTATTCCTTAGAAAAAGATGATGAGACCAAATGTGGAATTGCCTCTTGATGCAAAGAAGGCTTTAGATAAGTAGGCCAGAGTGAAACCTAGGTCTTTAAAGCAGGGTTTCGTTATTAGAAGAAATGTAGGAAGAGGAAGTAAGGCAGACAGGGATTGTAACCTGCTCTCTGGCTTGACCAAACAGAAACTGAAAAACCTGACCCAGTGGGCTATACTGATGGGAGTAGCTCTGACATGTTACAGTTCATAACTTGGTATAGCTACCTTGCCCACAGACTAAAATTTAAAGTGCAATGGAAGGGAATTCCTCATTAGGATGGATGGTTTTCCCCCTTACTTTCCCCTTTCGTAAACCTAATTATCATGGCCCATTTAACAGTCACCGGTTAGAAGTTTTTAATCGATAATCAAGATTGTTGAGGTATTAATTTTGTTCTCTTTGAAAAAAATTTTTTTTTCATCTCTTGACTTTAAACATTTGTCCATTTCCCACACTTGAAAACAGAGCTGATGTGCTCTCTCTACTTTGGTCAGGTTAGCCTGATAAAGTGCAAAACAAATAAAAATAAGGAGAACAACTGTTTTCACTTTTTAAACAATTATATGACTGTGGCTTTTAACAAGGACAGCAATTAATAATTTGATGTTGTTTTATATTTCCATCATTGTGCTGGAAACTGTTTCCACCTTAAGCCATTTAGGATTTTCTAATCCTAAGGGAAGGGTATAGACAGATTAAGAAAGAGGTAGTATACTCATTTTCATTTAAACTGATGAAATTTTAATTGTTAAAACCTAGGGGTGTTCTTTGACTTTACAGCTAGTAACACTACTCTTGTAGTATGGCTTAATGGCTAAGAGCATGGGCTCAGAGCCAGATGACCTATGTTCAAATCTTGGCTCTACCATTAACTGGCTTTGTGACCCTGAACAAATTCCTTAACCTTCCCATGTCTTATTTTCCTCATTTGTATAATAGAGATTGTAACAGTATTTACTTCACAGTGTTGGTGTGAGGAATAAATGACTTATTTATTTCACATAAAGCATTTTGAACAGTATCTGGCTCATAGTAAGTACTCAATACATCAGCCACTGTTATTATTTTAAATTCTTTAAATCTCTCATTTTTTTCCATGGCCATCCTTTCATTAAATTGCTAATCAGGAATCTGGTTGCTTTGGGAGCCTGGGACTCTTCACAGAGATACTGGGAATCAACAGCACCCAACCCAGCCTTACAGGGCCACACATCCTTGCACTCTTGAGTCTGCTTCTGAGTGATCGAAGGGTCCCAGCAGCCTCCCTTTCCTTGTTGGAAGTGAGCTTGTGTGCTCACATTTCCTGGGTATGCCTTTTATATTTTATAGGCCCTCTGACCTGTACTCATCAGCCAGAATTTACCAAGGCTGGGAACAGAGCCGTCTGGCCAGGGTGGGCTGCAGATAGAAAAGCCATTCTAAGATCACACAGCTGGGTAGGCCAGGAAGTGACCAGGGTCAGGCAGTGAACTAGGTTTAACTAGACACTTGGCATCAAAGAGACTAGGAGAAAATGAGATTCAAGGCAAATGGAAGCAGTCAGTTAGGCACTAGGGCGGAGGCTCCAGCCCCCCGTCAGCCTTCAGAAGACAGCCATTGAGGACCCTGTATTAAAGATCAATCCTGACAGACTGTAGTCGGGTGCTGAGCATTGAGCCAGATGCTCAGGGGACTTGGTGGGCCTTGTCCTACAGAACAGAACTCCCAGGTTGTGGTTGTTAAAAGGCACTTGTAGCCACATTAAGCCATCATCCTGTGGGCTCAACTGCACATCCCCAAGGACTGTGAGTATCCATGAGAAATGGCAGGCCCCACCAGATCTAGAGCTTGAGGGAGCCAAGCCAAGAGTTCAACTGCTAGAGAAGGTGCGCTGTAGGCACACATGTGAAATCTCCACATTACCAGCAGCTTATGAGGAGGTTATTTGATTGCGAATAATCCTTTTGTGGGTTTGTGTTTAAGCTGTCTGTGCCTCATGGAATTGCCAATGAAGACATTGTCTCCCAAAACCCTGGAGAACTCTCCTGTAAGGTAAAGTAGAGCTCTTTCTTTAGTGACTACTGTAAAAAAAAAAAAAAGAAAAAGAAAATCACTGGCCTCTGTTAGTGCTTTTACACATTATTAAATGCTTTAGGCTCCAAAGATTAAAATATGAAAAAAGTAATAATGTTTTATTAAATAATAATTGCCTCAGAGTGTGGTATTGTGCCTTACAGCGTGGGGATGTACTTGTGATGCTGAAGCAGGCAGCGAATAATTACGTGGAATGCCAAAAGGGAGAAGATATTGGCAGAGTTCACCTGTCTCAGATACAGATTATCACCCCACTTGATGAACATCTTAGAAGCAGACCAAACGTAAGGAATTAATACTGCACAGCCCTCATATCACACACGGCAGCACATTTCATAGAACTATTAATTATATCTCATCCTCAGGTTTTTATTAGCACGTTTATTTTAACCAGAGTAGAAATTACAGTAGCGTTTTATTTCATTTTAAGAATAAATTACTTCTAAAAGACTTGCCACTGCCATGCTAATCACTGTTCTACACAGAATGGCTACCATGTGGTTAGCCTGCTTCATCTCGTGCTGACTTAAAGCGGCCAGAGCGAGAGCTATTTATTTTTGAAATAATGTAAACATGTTTGCCAAAGTGGTAGAGATTAGTTTTCTCCCAGAATGGATAATTATTTTTAAGGGGGCCCTATAAATGCTAAGTCTGACATTAAGAAACACTTCCCTTTAAGATTTAAGCATAGGGTAACCCTTATTTCTCTGACCATAATCTTTATCTGATCAAAATAATGAAATGAAATGTAATCCAACAACCTAAAGTCACAGTGTAGGCCTAACGAATTTGTGGAGCCTGGGAGAATGCAATGATTGTTGAAGGTCATTTGTTTAGCAAGAAGAATTGCACTGAATGATTTATTACAGAGGTATATTTGTAAAAGAGCTTCTTAAGTTATCCAGGTAAATTTTCACTATCTGTTAGTTAACGGGGCACACATGAAAAATAATAGCCACCTATCACTTAACTCAAGGGGAAGTATTTGGTTTGCCATTTGACCTAGTTTTCAAAATCTATTCCAATTCTTTCTTCTTAGAAGGCAGTTTATCTTTTGAAGTTTGCTAAGAAATGTAAAAATTGGTATTTTGGAGAGCAGAGAAGGTATGTGTTAAAGTAGTCTCAGCTAGGATACTGAAATTCTAACTTTAGTCCACACAGGGAAAGTTCTCCTGTTGCTCATTTTCTCTTTGTTTTGGTACAGCATTATCCATCTGTCACAGCTGTCCTTCTCTCAGAACACACTGGTGGGTAATAGTAGTTGTACTGCCAAAAAGCTTTCCTTGATAAAAAAAAAAAAAAAAGAAGCTAAAAACAATTAGAAGTTATTCTTTTACAACAGTCCAAAGTTTTTTCCACTTTATGTATTTATTTGAGACAGACAGAGCAAGAGCAAGAGAGAGCAGGAGCGGAGGGGAGAGGGAGAAGCAGGCTTCCCGCCGAGCAGGGAGCCCAGTGCGGGACTCGATCCCAGGACCCTGGGATCACGACCTGAGCCTAAGGCAGATACTCAACCGACTGAGCCACCCAGGTGCCTCAGTTTATTCCACTTTGAACATTACCTTCTTTCCTCTTGTACCAGAGACTTGAAGACACCTGGCCTCCATTGGCCAAGTACTGGCGATACAAAAATGAAGCCTCCTTTAGACTCTGGGTTCATGGCTAGCATTATATTTTTTTAGAAAAATAAAACTTACCTATTTGTAAGCCTATTTTTAAGGTAAAAAATTATAAAAATGAGCTCTACTCTCCCCTACCTTAGTAAACATAAAGTAGTGAACATTATCAGTTGAGGTTGCATGTCTCAGATCATGGGGAAAGTGGGAGATGGTTACCTAGTGCCTGGTTGTGAGCAAAGATTTATGTTCCAGCGAGCTGGGTTTCAGTTCACTATACATCACCCCAGGTGGTTCTTTAACCTCTCTAAACTTCCATTTTTTTTTTTTTTTTTAAAGATTTTATTTATTTATTTGACAGAGAGAGGCAGTGAGAGAGGGAACACAAGCAGGGGGAGTGGGAGAGGGAGAAGCAGGCTTCCCGCCGAGCAGGGAGCCCAACGTGGGGCTCGATCCAGGCAGACGTCTAACAACTGAGCCACCCAGGCACCCGTAAACTTCATTTTTTTAATGTGGGAAATAGTTGTGATAATGCCACAGGGTTTTTTAGAATTGATTTATTGTATGATTCCATTTATATAAAAAGTACAAAAGAGGTAAATCCAGAAGGTAGATTGGTGGTTGCCCAAGGGCCACAGGGAAGGTGCAGGGGGAGTGACTGCTAATGGGGAGGGAGTTTCTTTGGGGAGTGATAAAAATGATCTAAACTTAGATTTGGTGAGAGTTGCACAATTCTGTGAATTTGCAAAAACTATGTACACTTTAAATGAGTGGATCTTACGGTCTGTGATACCTCGAAGAGGTTTAAAAACTTAGAAGAGCTAATTAATGCACATAAGCTGTTTAACCTGGTGAGTAGTGCATAGTGAGTACATGCTGAATATTAGCATTTTTTATGACTCATTTGTATCAGCAATTATAGTCCTATTAGAAAGAGCTTTGGAATATATTCGATTGACCTCCCAGACACGCACCCCGATGGCGTGGTCTGAGTCGTACCGATCCCTTGTGGCCGGCCCTGTGCAGCCTGTGCCTCTTGCCCCTCAGCTGCCAGGCCCGGTTGATAGCAGCCTTGCTGAGGAAATTCTTGCCTTGAAGACAGAGAAGGGAAACCTAATTGGGAGGCTCAAGTTACTGTCCCGCCTCATCCACCCTCGCAGGCTTGGTTATGCTCAGATTGTAGGGCCCTTTGAAGGATCTTGTTTGTGTTTGGTCTGGGGTAAGCCTCCGACTTGATTGTTTCCAAATGGATAGCCATCTAGCCTGACACCATTTACTGAATAGTCAGTCCTTTTTCCACAGGTGTAAATCAGAAAAAAAATGAAAACCACACATACACACCTATAATAACTGAAGTAAATAGTTTTTTAAAGCCCCTCCCGACTGCAAATACCTCATAGCTCTTTCCACAACTCCTGAAATTCCCATCATGCTCATTTACTTAGAGAAAAGCACTGAGCAGCTTCCAAGAAAATATCAGGGTTACTTTGGTAGGGTAGTATAGTGAGCTGCCATTAGCCATTACTGTCTTGGCCTAAATTAGTATTTCTGTTCGTCTAACTTGAGAGAATACAGAATGCCTCTGCAGGGGGGCATTTTGGTTGAAAGATGAGGTAATAAATCTGCCTTCATTTAGTTCACAGGTTTGCGAGTGTTGAAGAGTTTTAAGTTATAACTCCAAATAATACCTTTTTGTCAGATTAGATGATGAGGAGGAGGAGGATGTTAAGCCTGTCTGTTCGCATTAAACAAGAATAACAACTGCTTGTCAATGAGGAAAGGTCACTCTTCAACTATACCCTCTCCCCTAACCAATCTAGGAAGTTGGCTACATGGGTAGAGAATATTGAATTCTCTTTGCTAATTTACTTAGAATTACTGTTGAATAAACCATTTAGATTAAATAGAAAATCCAGGCGAGGCATGGGAAGTAGTGTTGTTGGCCTTCAAATTAGAGAAAGCATTCAGTTAAGTGGTAATAAATGAAATAGATTTTACTTTTTGTGAATTATACTTTTGTGGAAGTCATTAGGTCTTTTCATTATGAAAGGGAAGAGAGTATAAATTGCAGAGCTTTCTTCTTTTACCATTTTAATGAAGACTTAACTTTTAAGGCTCTGTTCTTGAGATTTACTACTGATCATAATTTAAGGAAAAAGCGACCTTGGCAAGGTACACAGATCAAAAACCACTACTTCAGAGTGGAATGGTACCAGTTTTTAAAAAAAAAAAATAATAATAGGGGTGCCTGGGTGGCTCAGTCGTTAACTGTCTGTCTTCGGCT